ATGTCCACCGCAAGTCTTATGGTCAGTTAGATTTTCTAATTAACCTCAGACTGCATCACAGTGACCCTAAAATATGATCCATATCAATGCCAGATCATTTTCTCAGACCAAAGGATAAACGGCATCTGACAGTATAACTAAAACAAAGAGTAACATTATACTATTACTAGTATTTGTATTGCTTTTTTATTATTATGTTATTGTTAATAATGATATTAATAACAGGAATAATAACTTAGAATACCAGCTACACTGACAGAATGAAAATAGGAACAACTGACCTAGACACCACAATGAAAGTGTTACTAAACCCACACCAGTAAAATCAGTCTGTATATGCAGTAAAGCATGCTTGTTATATTCAGCGTGGAACCTAAGGGGTTAATCCTCTGCACTGTGTAAGAAGGCTGTTTGATCCTGTCTTCTCTGCCCCTCCTCTTGTTGAAATGAGCACCTGATACAGACTGAACATGCTCAGTTTGGTGTGTATTGCTAGAGAGGTTTTTTTTTTTTTATTTCCTTGGGAGAGTGCATGTGATCAGCACAGGGCCAATCAGCACTGTCCAGACAGAGGTCAGGGGTTTTGCATCCTCCTAGAGCAGAAAGAAAACTCCTCCTACAAGCTTTAACCAGTGCTTTGCTGAAGTCACAAGACTGCTCTAACTGCTGATGAGAAAAGGTATTTAGCAGTTTATATTTACTAAAATAATTGCATTTCCATGTTGTGTGTACTGTGGGAGACCAGATATAGAGAATGCAGGGTCCTGGGTTTAGTAACACTTTAATATTGATGACAAAAACAAAATCTGCACAACCAGGCATAATCACCTCTGGGAGCAAGCTGACACTAAAAAAGTGATCTCACTTCACCTTATAAACAGATGAATAGCCCAATAGTGCAGCACTACCCACTGGCACTGCACTATTGGGTTATTGACCATGGCCAATAAATTGGTATTCAAATGCTACATCAAGGAAGTTGAGAATTTATGGTAAAATATGTTGTTTTTGGACACTCTATGTAGAAACAGAGATTCTTTCCCTCCTCTACCTATATTTGTTTTGCAGGAATCAACAACAAGAATTTTACATGCAAAATACTTTTCTTATTTATTTCTTATTGATCCACAAACTTTGCTATATTTTTGTCTTAGACATTAGAAAGACATGGGTGTAATATTACAAGGTGTCAGGGGCACAGAGGCAAGCGATATTAAACCTAAAACCAAAAATGTTATGTATTGCAGCTTACCAAACATTAGATGCGGTGGCTGCATTAGTTTTCTTTATTTGGGCTTTTTCCTCTGTTTTCATCTGGTGATCTGGCCAGTAACACACCTCCTGTGTTAGGGGCTGTTAATACCAGAATATGGTGTGGGAAACCTGCGTTCCATGCACATTTCTGGCACCACATTCAAAACACACTAGGTGTGCAATCTGCTATGGGTGTCAATGTATTCCTAATGACATCCCAACAGCAGATCACAAACGCAGAGCGCTTGCCTGCACCGAATCACATGGTACCACAGTACCAAGCAATCTAGTTGCAGTACTTTTTAAAAGTAGTGCATGCACTACTTTTGATGCAATCCAGTGCGATGTCAGCCTACTCAAATTAATATGCTTAAAAATTTCACAACACTGATTCGCACAGGAATCACACAGGAATGTGCCCCACTTTCCTGTATGGTGCAAGTGTGACACAGTTGTTAGAGTGCCTCCACTCTGGATGAAAGAGCACAGAGGGCACCTTTGGACAGCTGCATTGTTAATCTGGGGGGAGGGGAGTGTTAGATGCACTAGCAGATTTAGATACACTAACAAACTGAAGCTAAATTCCAGCTACAACTTTGTACAGCAAATATTGTTTCTTTTGGGACAAAGGTTTTATATAAATAAATTAATTAATTAAATCTAATCATTGTAAGCATCCCTGTCAGTAGTAAATGGTTTGTTTCAATCCTGTAATGGCTACATCTGCAGGACAGTGTGTGCTATTGAAAAACAACAGACTTATTAGCAAGATCACCAGGTGAAAATAAAGAAAAGAAGGTCTTAAAAAAGAAAACTAATGCAGCCATCACATCTAAAAATTGTAGCTAATATAATAAATGTTTTGGGTTTTATAACTCTTTAATTTACTCTCCAGCTCCACCCAAATAATGGATGGATCTTGTATTCAGTTTCAAGTCCAGTGCTGTAATCATCTTGCAAACTTTTGCTAATGTTAGATGCATTTTCATAGCATATGCAAAGATTTTACAATGGAGGCATGAAGAGTCACAGCATATAATCCATATGTAAACTATTCACTAGGCAGTGAGATGGTGAATTTGTATACACTTATTTTATTCATGTATTTATAAAAAATGTATAACAAATTATATATAATATCCTCAACTGAGCTCAGTAGCTTAAAGAAAAACTCCGGGATAGGCAAAAAAAAGTTACCCATTAGTACACCCCCCTACACAAAGCATTAAACAGTTAATAATATTGTAAAGCGCTGAGCAAACTGTTGGTGCTATATCAATCTTGTATAATAATAATAGCATTTTGAAAATTTGTATTATTATTATTATAAATCCTTACGAATGTTCATAAAGCCTCATCTCTGTAATTCAAAGAATAACAGCATCTGCTCTGCCAGGGAGGGGGTGTAACAGCAGAGATTATATCCTACCACAGGGAATTGTAGTAAATGCGGGCGGGTACACTAGGTCTGTACATTTTAAATATGTCTGAAAGTCTTGGTCTGCTACCTCTACAAGTGGAGCTGAATAAAATCACTGCTTTCTGGAGAAAGAACTACAGAAGGGATGTGCCAAGACCAGTGGCTGGGGGAATAGGAGGCATGGCAGCTACTGGTCTTACTAACAGGAAACCAAAGATAATTAACAATTTGATTTGAAAATGAATATGGTATTTCAGAGCAGCTACTGAGTGGACCAGAAGATGGATGACATATTCAGCGAAACTAGTAAATAAGCAACAAAGACATGTAAAGAAGTTCTGCTTTAATGGCGTTCGCTGAAATTTACAAACTAAAGTAAACAAAATGACACAGGAATGACTTGTCAGTCCTCACATCCACTCTGCCTGTCTATTAAGATGGCTCTGTCTGAAGTTTCAATCAGAGATAGAATGTCTAAGAGAATGCTTCTGCTATGCTCTCTTTTATGGAAAAGTTCTGGAAACTGAGTCATGGAGGCAATCTGTATTAAAGGTTAAAACTTTATAAAGCAAAGAGTTTTAAAAAAAAATAGTAAAGGGAAACAATTCTAACAATTCATTTTCAAATGTTAAACATTAAAGCACTGACCCCCAAAAATTAACCTAAAACCATTTTCTTCCCTTTAAAATGTAACTATTACTACTTAAAAAAAAATCAGTTCAGTTCTTTCTTTGTCAATGTAGCTGCTGACATTTGATTTATAAGCAACACAGGAAAAAGAAGACATGCTTCTATTAAAAAAAAAAGTAAAATTGTAGTTGGAACTATAGAAAAGTTCAGTCCGATCACTTGTAACATTTACTAGTTGACAGGATAACAAGGACTGAAGAAAGAATGTCATTAGTACGTACAATGCAGCTTTACTAGGGATGACATAATGTTCCACTTTCTACATCAATACTTAAGAAAGGCTGCCTCTGATTTGCCATATTCAAAAAAATAATGTTAAAGCTTAAAAGGAAAAAAATTATAAACTTTGTAAATATGATAATTTAATTTGTTTTTCTTTGTCAGATTGCTCTTGTACCCCAGGACAGCTGGCATTTTGTCTGACTAAACAGCAACTGCTTGTTATTGGTAAATGTCAGACTTGCAAAGGTGTAACCGTGGATCAATTCAAATGCAATCATTTATTTGGAGGCAGAGAGCTTGTGAAAACAGCCTCCGTCATCTGCTCTAATACCAAGTCTCCTAGAGATAGGTTTGATTTACCCATTTTCTTATTTCATTGGCCGGTCTGTGCCAGATATCGGTTGGGGTTGGGACAAAAGTGAGCACATTTAAAAAAAAGAAAGAAAATCACAAAATATCTTCAAGTTGCACAGATTATACATTGCATTGATGGCTAGCAGGCTACCAGTACATCTTTTTAGAAAGTGATTGATAAATAAGCCAAATGCGGTCAGTGTGCAATCAAGGTGATATCATTTTACTTGTTTTCTTTTATCTGTTCCTCAGAAAGAAATTATAGAACTGCAAAATTATTTGAAAAAAGTAGCATGATGTTACTTATTACAACAAAAACATTGTAAATGTTGGCTTGCCATGCTTTTCCCTTCTAGAAATTATTATTATTATTATTATTATTATTATTAACCGCTTTTGTGCCACCCTATAGCAGAAAAACTGCTACAGGGCAGCACGGGTGTGCAAATCACGTATATATACACGCGTGCACGCCCTACCCGCGCCGCCATTCACGGCCTCGGCTGTCAATCGCCAGATCCCAGGCAGTGATTACTCGCTGGCACCCGGCGATCTCTGAGTATTACTGACTGGGAAGAGACCTGTATGTAAACAATACAGATCTCTCCCCGTCAGCTCCGGCACACTGCTTTGCATGGCTCTGCATATTCATATGCTTATGTTTATTCTCCCTTTAGGCTAAGGTCCTAGTAGGTATGACCTAGTACTGTACTGAGATCTATTTCAAGACAAATATGATTTTTATTAATTTTAACCAGTTGCCAACCGCTCTATAACCGAAGGATGGCTACAGTGCGGTTTTCTGGTTCTGGAACCACGTCCATGGACGTCATTCCAGAACACGCCCCCTGTGCACCCCCAGCAGCATGCACCCGGAATTACAGGATATGGTAAACAGCCATATAACGGCGGCCAATGACACAGCAGATCACAGGTAAATGCAGTTGCTGGTTATCGGCTGCACTTCCTCACGCTGTCAAAGTACTACCAAGAACCGGCAATTGTCAGCGAAGGGATTGCCATTGATCATCAGGGCTCTGATGATCAGTGCCCAGCAGTGCCGCCCACCTGTGCCACACACCTGTGTCCAGCGTTGCCGCCCACTTGTACTCATCAGTGCCGCCCACCTGCACCCATCAGTGCCACCCACATGTGCCCTGCAGTGCCACCCACCTGTGCCCATCAGTGCCATCCACCTGTGCCCTGCAGTGGTACCCACCTGTGCCCATCAGTGCCATCCACCTGTGCCCTGCAGTGCCACCCACCTGTGCCCATCAGTGCCACCCACCTGTACCCACCAGTGCCACCCATCAGTGCTGTCCAGCAGTGCCACCTATCAGTACTGCCCATCAGTGCCGCCTATCAGTGCAGCATCATCAGTGCCAGCTCATCAGTGCTGCCTATCAATGCTGCCTATCAGTGCCCATCAGTGCTGCCTATCCGTGCCACCTCATCAGTGCCCGTCAGTGTTGCCTATCAGTGCAACCTCATCAATGCACATCAGTGAAGAAGAAAAATTACCTGTTTGCAAAATTTTATAATAGAAACAAATAAAAACTTTTTTTTTTCAATTTTTTTGCTTTTTTTTGTTTATAGTGAAAAAAATAAAACACCCAGCAGTGAGTAAATACCAACAAAAGAAATCTCTATTTGTGTGAAAAAAAATGATAAAAATGTCCTATGGGTACCGTGTTGCATGACCGCAATTGTCATTCAAAGTGCGACAGCGCTGAAAGCTGAAAATTGGCCTGGGCAAGAAGGGGGTATAAGTGCCCAGTAGGCAAGTGCTTAAAGAGTATCAAAAAACAACATAAGCATAGAACCATACAACATAGAAAGTGGTCTTTTTAGCATACATAAAAAAAAGGAATTGCCTGTACAGTAAGAATAAGTGTGACATATGAAAATATGGTGTCAGGTACACATAGTACATTGAAATAAACAGATACAAAAGTTCAGGGCTATAGTAGGAACATTATGAACCAAACACAATATGCATCAATCTACCAGGACATTGTAACATCGCAACATGCCTTAGCAGACTACTAACAGATTAAAGTGGAACTGCATTGCATCTGAGCACCACAAACCAAAAATTCTATATAATTCATTTTTAATATTTAAAGCAAACTCCTACATCCATCTATGTCTCCATGCTTTATTTTGCTCAGAAATTATTAAACCCCCTGGCATTACTGGCAGTGGCCATCTTGAGTAAAGGCAGATGATTCATGTAGCATTTACTTCCTGGAAAACATCTGCCCTTATCTTGGGCATAGGCTGAGCTGAGAACCCTCCCACCCCTCCTGAAGACTCCTAGGATATATGACATCATTTGCCTAGGCATGGGAACCCGGAAGTAACTAAAGAAGTGTAAAAAAAAAGTTAAAAACAAGTAAATATGATATACTTTCTTATCTATTTACTAATGCTAGCAGAATAAGGATTATAAATAGTCAATGTTGTTTGAGAGAGTGAAGTTCCACTTTAAGGACAGAAGGAGGGGAAAAAGAAAGAAAAAACATGGAGCCCCAGGACCATCCACAACTGTAAATAAAATAAATAATATGCTCCAGGGAGGAAAAGGAAGGGTGAAGAACTCAACAAGCCATATATAGGAACTGAATGAATTTTTATTATTTGCATACAGTTGATGAACAGATATTTGGTGAATGGTCTTCATTTATTTATTATGGTTGCTATGCATTTGACGGATTTGATGTATTATTTAAATGGTAATTAGCACTGTTTCCACAATGGTTAAACTTTATAATATATTTGGAAATGAAAGTATTATATATATGGAATTTTAAGTGGTTATAGAGGTTATTTAGGTCAAGTCGGCCATAGACGGATCAAAATTCCGCAAGTTCAGAAGGAACCCGGGCAGGATAGTTGTAATGAAGTCAATCCATCAGCCTGTCAGGTTTTTTTCTGCCCAATTACTGCTGGTGGCTATAGCTTCCAGCACTGATCTTTGTATTCTGCCGATGGGGAAGGTTCCCTGAACCCTCCGGCAGAACACAACAGCACTGTGGGAGGGAGTCCCCCATCAACACTGATTGTGTTGATGGAGAAATCAAGCAATTTTCTTTCCTTCAACCTGTGCTTGAAAGAAAGAATATTGAAATATGCATAGCCTGCCTTAGTAGTAGAGATAGGAGAGCAGAATTGACATCCATAATATAATACAGAAAAACAGTCATTAGATTTCTTTAATGATGTCAATTATACCTTCTTCCCTAGAAACATATAATTCAGACACAGATGATTTATAAAGGGAGGGCCAATGAAAAGTATATTTGTTCCCCAAGCAGCCTGTTGGAATTTTTCTTTTTTGTTCAAACCAGCAATTAGAAAAATGATAGCTGGGATCTAAAGGTTACTTTGGGTAACATGTCTGTTCTTTCTTATAGGATTCCATTATTCATTTTGAACATGTCATATTATTTTCTGTATGTCTTTGTATGCTGGAAAGTAAGGTAATATTTACATAATTGCATTTGCTAATTTTTTTTCTGCTCAATTTGTCAAATTAATTGTAGCCTGTGTCCAATCCAGATATAAGGCTGGGTGTTCATAAAATAATCAGTGGCATAATTTATTTTATATCGCTAGGATTTCTCTGTGACCAAGATGTAGTGTGATTATGCAGGTTAACCCTGTAGTGTATAGAAAAATCGAGAAAAGCAGAGCTTGAGCCAAAACAGCTAAATATGCCATTGAGATGCAAATAGATAAATAGAATGAAATAGATCAATAAATATAGATGCATGTTTTACCTGCCAGATATTTTGTATGTCTGTTAATTCAATCTATACTGTATATATATATATCTGTCATTCTGTTCATCTACTGTAAGATTCAAACACTTTTTGCCTCCCTATAACATCAGCTAGGGACAGCAATATCCAAAGCTTGCAGCCCTGCAGGATTCTGTGTCCATTGTCCACCTCCTGCCCTTTTATTGGACTGTGGAAGCCAGAAATAATTCCAACTAAAGCCTCCAGCATCTAAAACATGTTAGGATATCCATGGTGCTTGATTGGCTTAAATTGTTGTCACTTCCACCACTCAACTGAGTTCTAGTGTGCAAGGAAGAATCAGTAGTATATGTATATTTCATCTCCACATCAGCATTACTGTATATACATCTACCCCAGCAGTATATACAATTTTTTTTTTCCACCAGAGAATATATACACCTCTTTACCCAACATTATAGAGCACGTCACTCTTTACTTCCCCAACATTTGTTTTTACATCCCTCAACACCATGAGGTTCTTCAAGGAGTGTGACTATAAAGTGGTTGCAGTGATGGAGCATTGTGTGGCTCCTCTGTAAGCAATTTTTCAGCAACCTTTAAGTAAAGGAATCGCTGGGATGGACTCCTGTTGTGATGCCATCCTGAACTATTGGCAGTTAGGATTATAGGTAGTATACAAACACATCAATGGGTATTTAGGAAGTAGTAGAGGACACCGGTAATTGATAAGCACCGACATACAATGTCAGCCTAATGCTAGTCAACCAAACTGCATATAGCTGCTTTGAACTGGTTAAAGTCTTACTAAAGATTCAGATTTTTTTAAAATAACATACTTACCTGTTCTGTACAATGGTTTTGCACAAAGCAGCCCCAATTCTCCTCTTCTGGGTTCCCCCACCGGAGCTCCTGTCTCCCCCCCTTCCCCACTGAATGTCCCCAAAGCAAGCTGCTTGCTTTGGGAGCACCCATGCATGCTCACTACCGAGTCACCTCTGTCTGTCAATAAAACACTTGGCTTGGCCCCACCCCCACTTCCTCATTCACTGACTGTGATTGACAGCAGTGGGAGCCAATGGCTCCTGCTGCTGTCTCAGCCAATGAGGTGGGAGAGACCCTAGAGAGACACTGCTCTTGTGCACATTACTGGATGGAGAGGGGCTCAAATAAATATTAGGGGGAGCTGAGGGGGGAGCTGCACACTGAAGGTTTTTTACCTTCATGCATATAATGCATGAAGTTAAAAAAAAAAAAACTTCAGCCTTTAGAACCACTTTAACATCCATCCATGCCAGATAAGTAACCAGTAGTTTTGTGTATATTTTTGTATTTATTTACTATGATCAGAACTTAAAAATTAAAATAATATTTTTAGTCAATTATCAAATATTGCATTAGAATATTTGTATACGTTTTAGCCAGTTGGTGTAGCTCCTTTGCACCTTTTCCAGGTTTTTCTTTGTTTCTCTGATTAAAAAAACAAAACAAAAAACAAACATTTTGTTCGTCGAACTCAATAGCTACACACAGAACAAGATGAATCAGATGAATTTGACTCATATCTCTCCTTTGCCTTCCCTGGTTGCTCTGTTCATTAGGCTCCATACTAAGTCTCAATGAGACATGGGGGTTGATTTACTAAAGGAAAATAGATTGTTGCACAGTTGCACTCTACAAGAATAGTTGCTCCACTGCTAAGTAAATGAGCAGAAGCTCTGCTGACTTCCATCATCCAATCATATGTAAGCAAAAATCCCATTTTTTTTTTTCAGTTTTTCTTGCACGTAATTGGGTATTTTTTGCAAAGTTAACTTTACCTCATTAACTAAGCTCTGGAGCAACTGCACTTGCAGAGAGCAACAGCACTTTGCAAATTGCACAGTCTGTTTGCCTTTAATAAATCAACCCCAGTGTATGAAAGGTAACAACTTCTGCTGTATTCTTTCTTTTAAAAGTCCAAATCGCTCTTGAAATTTATTGCTATAGGTTTATCCTGTCGAATTGCAGTTAAAAGAAAGAAACTAACAAATAGGGGAAGATTCATGAGCATGTAGCCTTCATTAGTGAACACTGACATCACTGAGATATGTAATAAAGGAACTCAGCTGCTTTCAGTGGGCTTAGAAACACAGACATAAGAATGCTCTTCAAATTCTCTTTGTCTAATGTCCCTTTCAGTACCGGCAAGTTGCTCTATAAAACTAATTGCAAGTTTAATTTGATTCATGGAAAAGTTATCCAACAATTAAATATGCCTTCTTTGTTCCTTTGTACAATAGCACAGCAAAAATTCAATGCTGCAAATAACGTTTTCTGAAACAAAGCAAAGTTCTTCAGTAGAATCTTTCTCCAGCCGCTCGTTGGCAACAGAAAGTATCCATTAGGTCAAGCAATACAGTCCATATGTCACACGGCAGTTATGTTAGCCAGAATTGAAAGTGAACTGTTATTGCTAAGCATTTGTACAGGTATATTGAAAACAAATTGAAGACAGACAGTTTGCTGACACGTACAAGGAAGTGTGACTGACAAACACATCATTGGTTATATACCCAATGACCAGTGACTGCTACTTAATGGGAACCTGTAGGGCATCAATGAACTTCTGGCTACTTTGGGATCTTCTTTTCCAGGTCACCAAAAAAAGTTAC